TTTTGATTTCTATTTAATTTATATAATATTTATATTAAATTTATTTATTATCAATCTTGCATTGTTTCTTGTTTATTTGTCTAAAACTTCAATCTCTTTGTGAAAAACCCAAATGAAGCTTCAAATATAAACAAAAATCCAAGTGATAACATACTGTGTGATCCTGAAAGAACCCCGGGGCAGTGCTAATAAATTTTGCCAGTTATTTATGCTAACAAACATTGCTGAATAATTCAGGGAATGCACAATTGCAGGAGCAGGAGCAGGAGAAGGAGCAAGACCAGGAGCAGCAGCAGTAGCATCACCATGGATGGCAGTTGGGAAATTTAACAATATAAACGCCACATTTCAGATGGCTTGACTTCTCACAGCGAGCAAAGGGAGATGGAGAGAGATAGGAAAGGGGGCTAAAAATGCACTCGGTATCCTCTAGACCCCTCACCCTCACCACCCCCCCTCTCTCTATGCCTTCTCTGGGAGAAACACTTTTAGGATACTTGAACTTTTTTCCCTCCTCACCCAGTCTCATTTTGTCTTGTTTCTTTAAGTGCACACACAAGAAAAAAATAAGAGGAGGGGTAGAATATATATATACAAACATATATATATATATATATATATATATCTACACACTCCTCCTCTGCCCCCTGCCCCTTTGCTTGTGCTTGTGTGCTTAATTCCATTTTCATTTTCATTTGCAGAGGACAACACAGGAAGCAGGCGGGGTGGCTATTTGTTTTGTTTGAGTTTTCCAAAGGAGCAGGCTGGCTGGCTGGCTGACTGGCTGGCACACATTACTCCCGATTTTGAATCGGATCCCTGTGCCACACACTCTGCACATTTTCACATTTCCACTTTTCCGCTTTTCCCAGGCCTGGTGAACTCTCTACTCTTTTGTTGTTGTTGTTGTTGTTTGCCGCCCCGGGAAATGGGTCAAACTCATTTAATTGGCAAAAGAAATTTATAAAAGAAAAATATTTAAAAAATAAATATATAAAAAATAAATTATACAAAATTATAATTATTTTTCTCAAATTTTTTTACAAACTGTAAAACCACTGCAAAAATATTGCTTAAAATCTGTCTTTAAATCTTTTAAAATCTCTGTTAAACCCTCTCTCTAAACCCCTCTGAAAACCTCTTTTAAAACCCCTCTCAAAAGCCCCTCTCAAAAATCCCTCCCAAAAATCCCTCTCAAAAATCCCTCCCAAAAATCCCTCTCCTAAAACCCCTTCTAAAAACCCCACCCCTTGAAATTCTTGACTCATTTCATGACGTGGTAATGCCTTATGAATGCTTATCCCCCACCCAAACAAGGGGATTACTCCTAATGTCGTCATTGCCTTCACCAATCTCGACCAGCTGGGATCCGTTAGCAAGACCCGAGGAGCCCCAAGATCCGAGATCCGAGATCCGAGTTCCAAGTTCCTAGTTTCCCTCTGCCCTCGTAAATCACAGCGAGGTGTGAAATTAAAAATAGTTCTTCTGACATTTTAAATGCGATTGTCAGTCAACACCTCTCGATGGGAGAGGCGTAGGCGTGGGCGCCTTCGAAAATGAATTTATGACAGCACAGAAAATATATATAAATATAAATATAAATGAACAAGCCATCATTCAATTGGGTTTTTGGATTTTGGATGCGGATTCCGGATTCCGAAGCGTGCTCAGAGGATAAGATGGTGTGGGAGGAAAGTGGGAGGGTGTAGGGGAGTGTAGTAGAGTGTAGGGGAGCGTATGGGAGTGTAGGAGAAGGTAGGAGAGTGTAGGAGAGTCTAGAGGAGTGTAGGGAAGTGTAGTAGAGTCCACTCCCAAAAAAACTACCCACAGTCTGGCTAGCATCACACGAGATGTGTGTCCGTGTGTGTGAGTCATAACTGCTGCTGCCACTTCCGCCTGCCAGAGGGTTCAAGAAACTCAGAAAAAAAAAAAAAAAAGAAAAAAAACCAGCCAGAGATTTGTAAGTTGATTTTGAGGTTGATGCCTCCTCGCCTCGGCTTTTGGGCCCGCGGGGGCATTGAAAGCGTTTTAATTTTCTTTATCTTTCGGCTACGCACTTGGGCGATCTCAGATTTTTACTCGGCCTCCAAGCACACACAACACAAACACACACACACACACACTCCGGGGTCACTTTGATCGCTCTTTGAACCTGGCACCAGGTGGGGGGGATTAACTCTGATTGCTTTGGATCTTTTCCTAGGCGGTTGTTTTGTGATCTTTACGTTTTCAACTTTCAGAGGCTTAGCACTTGGATTTTCTTAGATTTGTTTCCAAGGATAGTGTCTAGAAACTCAGAATACACTCATAAAAATGGAAACAAAAACAAATAGAAAAATTACAAAAAAAAAAAAAAAAAATATATATATATATATATATTAAAAAAATCTATTAAAAAATATAATATAATTTTTAAAAAATATATATGTATATTAAATTAAATAAACTAAAATTATTGAAAAATTTATTTAAATTCTCTGAAACCTTCTCTAAATTTTCTTCAAAAAGAACTAAAATTTTTCGCCAATTTTTCCGAAATATAAAAAAATATTTTAATGAGAAAATTGTTATAGCATTGTCTTTTCTTTTATATTTATACCCTTGCAGGGTATTATAATTTCAGTCAGAAGTTTGCAACGCAGTGAAGGAGACGTTTCCGACCCTATAAAGTATATATATTCTTGATCAGCATCAACAGCCGAGTCGATCTAGCCATGTCCGTCTGTCCGTCTGTCCGTCTGTCCGTCTGTTCGTCTGTCCGTCTGTCCGTCTGTCTGTTTCTACGCAAACTAGTCCCTCAGTTTTAAAGCTATCTGAATGAAACTTTGCATATAGTCTTCTAAATGCTCTCACTGCTATATATGTCGGAACGGGCCGGATCGGACGACTATATCATATAGCTGCCATACAAATGTTCGATATATTTTTCGAAAAAAAATTATAACTTTGCTGTTTTTCAATAGTTTTGCACCATTTTTTAGATATGGCCATTTTATATTATTTCTGAATTTTGGTAAAAATTTTATGAAAATCGGACGACTATATGATATAGCTGCCATAGGAACGATCGGGAAATTAATAGGAAAAAAATTATAGCTTCGTTGTTTTTCAACGTATGTTTATCTACTCTGAGATATAAGCTTTTTTTATTAATCTAGAATTTTGGTATACATTTTATAAAAATCGGACAACTGTATCATATAGCTGCCATATAAGCGATCGGTAAATGTATAACATATGTAAAGCTGGGAATGCAAAACTGTAACTGTCAAACTGTAAACATAATAAGTATAGGTAAAATGTAATGAAACTCTGTTTTGTGAGTGTTTTCAGCATTTAAATTTATAATATAAACATCAAAACCAATCTGCAAGGGTATACAAACTTCGGCGTGCCGAAGTTAGCTTCCTTTCTTGTTATATTGATATTATATTTATTTAAATTTATATTCTATTTCTTTAAAATTATATTTAACCCTCTGTTACCCGTTAGTCCCTTCTATATTTCACACATATTTTCCCCTAAATTGAATTTCCTTCCTCCTATGGACATTGCCTGACCTGTTCTTGGATGATGTCAGCTTTCGCCGGCAGCCTTAATCCCTCCCCACTGGCTCTAGCCAGCCATCGATCACTCATCTATTCATTGAAGGCGACAGAAAAAATAACAAAAAAACAAAAAAATTCAATAAAAAGTACAATAAAAAATACAACAAAAAATATACAACAAAAACTACAATAAATACAAGAAGATATATAAAAACTATTTACAACAAACGAATCGCTTTAACGTTGAAGGGGGATTAAAATTAAAATCCCCCTCGAATGCCAACCCCCTGCTCACTCGATAATTGACTTGGGCTTAACGCAATTAACAATGGCAGGAAAAAACGAATCAATGAGTGAGAGAAGTTTGAAAAAAAATATATTAAAAAAAAATCTGACAAATAATGAATAATCTCCGCAAGAGGAGGCGGCGGGAGTTGGATTGGGAATTCAATAACCCGACACGGGGCCATAAATATAAACATGAATATAAATACGAGAGTGGTGGTAATCCTCTGAAGGTTCACTCTGGCGGAAAGCGCCGCTCAAACTAACCATGAAAATCATCAAATAATCGACCTGGCCGCCCACTTCCGGCTTGTTGAATATTTTTTGGAATATTCTGGGAGATGTGCTCATCATAATAATCATTGGTATCGCAGCTGCGATCATCGGCCAGATCGGTTGGTCCGGTCATCATCAGTGGCAACAGCAGCGGCAGCCGGAGCAGCAAGTGGACATGGCCACAAGTCGACATAATCGCGGCACATTTCGCGGATGAGCGACCACCGGCGGCGGGGAAAACGAGCAACAAAATTATGCACAGCAATTAGGCAGATCTGGCTAAGAGAGGGAAGAGTTAAGGCTAAATTATACCCTATATTCTTCTTTAAAAAAATTATGAAAAAATATATATTTTCTATATTTTTTCTATACTTTCTTGAATTTCTAAAACCGCTAATCTGGCTAAGAGAGCGAAGAGAGAGTTAAGGCTAAAATATACCCTGTTTTCTTCATTAAAAATAATAAAAATAAATATAATTTCTATATTTTTCTGTATTTTCAAAAAATTATGCACAACAATTTGAAATATCTTCCTAGGAGCGGGGAGACATAGTTAAGGCTAAAATATACCCTATGTTCTTAAAAAATATAATAAAAATAAATATATTTCTTTATTTTTAATACATTTTCTTGTATTTTTTAAAATAATAAAACTCCTTACATTCGGTTAGAATGTGTGGCTTAAAAAACCCATAAGTCTCTTTGTCAATCTCTTTCTTATATTATTTCCTCCTCACATAAACTATAAAACCCATAAACCCCCCAAAGACCAGGGTATCAGCACAGCTTATTAATTAGCTGATAAAAACAATGGAATGGAGATGAGCTTGGGGTTTGGGGTTGGGGTTGGGTTTAAAGTGTGGCCTGAACACCTGCTGAGCTCGTGACTGGCGACAACAAGTCTTCTCTTCTTAAAACTTCAAAAACAATTTCCTAAGGTTTTTTTTTTTTTTTTGTGTTTGTGTCATAAACAAATAAATTTCACATAGTTATTTTTAGTTCAAAATTCACCCTCAGTGTTTTAGTGTCCCTTCCTTCGAGATGTCCCTGTTCCTGCTGTACACCCTTTGTCTGGGCCTACCCCTACTAGGGGTTCTCGTGGCCTTTATTTTTGGACCGCTAACGACAATGCTTCAGACTCTAGCCAGGTGGGTGGTTTTTCTTATAGAAGAATTATACCCAGTTCTAGTACCTTCCCCCCAGGAGAGAGAGCAATCGTTTGGCCTTGGTGCCCATTACCCCGAGAGCCATACAGCCTGTGCCCTATGATCCCTTGGAGGCCTCGTCCTGGCACAAAGGTATACGCGCTCACATCCGCTATTTGGCTAGATACGTTCATGTTCCGCCGGATCTGGATGAGGGCGGCATGCCGGAGGAGCTGCATTGCCAACTGCTGGTCCTGGCCATGTTGCAGAATCTTTTTCGAACGGGACGTCTGCAGAGACCCACCGTGGATGCCACGCAGTCTGTCTCGGATATAGTTTCGGTTACACCTCGCGTTCGTAACCAGAATCGCTGATGATATTAAGGAGGAGGAGGAGGAGGAGTAGAAATCCACCATCATCATCATCATCATCCATTTCCGCCTGTATTACATTTGAAGCCTAATAATCATTTCGTGGGCTTGGGCCCCTAATAGCATTTTAATTGCTAAGCCCAGAACTTGGTCATTGTATTTGATTTCCCCTCAAATTAACATCAATTTCTGGTCGAGCAGGAAGTGGGACAAGCAGCCTAAGTCCAGGCATTGGGGCCATTATCCTGCCTGCTCCTGCGAGTGTTCCATTGCCTGACAAGGCAGCATTAAGTGCTTGGTGGGGGAGCCTCCTACTTTAGTGAAGGAAACGAATAGTAAAATACCCTAGTTTTGGCTTGAAATAACCTGACTAAGCTTGACTTGACTTTTACAGCCTAGAAAATATCCTTTGTTCTTTGAATCTACTGAATTTGTATCAAGAAAATTCCCCTTCACACCCCAGAGGGTATCACCAGGACTCCCTAGGGCTTAGAGCTCTCTTTCTCTGGCAAGGAGCGTAGCTGGGGGAGGGGGATTGACATGTAACTGTTTGTCACACAAAATTAGCGTCGGGCGTCGAGTGCCGAGTGTCGGCAACATCATTTATCAATGTATCAATTGTGGAGGACGACAGGCGACAATAAAAACAAAGCTACTCGCAAGTCGAGGCGAAAAAGAGGGGGAAAAACAGAAGGCAAGATATCACGCTCGGAAAAACTCAGACAAGACGAGGGTTGACAATTGGCAACTAGAGTTTGGGAATCAAAAAATCGAAATCGGAGACATGTTCTTTCTTTACAGATTTTCACCGAGATTTATTTTTATTTTTTTGCGTGAGTGAGGATAATTAGTTAGGGTTTAGACAGAAAGAGGGTTGAGTTTTGTTTACAAGAAAGGTTTTTTGTCTTGGAAAATTCGTATTTAAAATTTAAATTATTTTAGTATTTAAAACCAACTTAAAAACAAGCTTTGAACCAGGTATTTTCCTTGTCATTTATTGCATTTTAAAATATATATTTCTGCCAACAAAATGCCCACAATTCACTGACAGAGAGCCCCATAAATCTGTCATAAGCACATAGAGGACGGCAGGCAGGCAGCCCATAGAAACTGGACCAAAGTCAAGTGATCACTCTGTCAGAGCTTCTTCTAGTGGATCCAGCCATTCTCCCACCTCATTGAACTGACATTTCAATGACATTTTATCACACTTTAGTTTACTTTACTTTAGGTTTCAGCTCTCTGCTGCTGTTTTTCAGTGTTCAGTGTTTAACGTTTTTAGTTTTTTTTTTTTTACATTTTTATGGCTGGCACACGCGGTGCCCTGCATACTTGAAGAGCTTTGGCTGTTTGTGACCCCATCATATGGATATATATACATATATATAGCATCATCCTCCGTAGAGCCATCATTATTATTATCTTCACCCACATTGGAATGCAGTTTCGTTTCGTTTTACGTTATTTTTTCTGTATTTTTCGACACGCTCAGAGTTTATTAAACGCTGCCCTTGGCTCATTGCCTGCCTGCCTGACTGACTGACTGAGTGAATGAGCAAATGAGGAGGAGGGGTGCTCGTGTTTATGTTTGGCTTTCAATTTGGCTTCGATTAAGCAGGGCTGTGAGTCAATATTTACCCCGCGTTTGGCAGCCCAAGGTCGCTTCTTGGCCCCGAGTCAACTCAAGACGAGAGAGTCCAACTTGTCGCCTTTCATTCATAATAATAATCCATGCAATATTATTTTGTTTGATTTTATGTCACGGTAATTACTTCCAGCAAAATATATATGCATTTGCTGGCCATTTTTGCAGAGATTTGTATTTAATTAGTGGTCAGAGCACGGTCGCCATGTTAGCAGTTCACATATATAAATATTTTCCAGCCACTAAATACGATTTTATTGATGGTTTAGAGTGTTGGACACATGTACATATATATGTTCATATATAGAAATACCATCCATCAGCTATTGCAAAATGTGTCAATAGGTGTGTTTTTTTTTCTGCAGTTTGGAAAATTTTGCTAAATTACCACGAAATTCAATTGCTTTTAAGTGGAAAAATATTTGCAAAATAAATCAAGTGAAATGTAACAAGAGTGCGTGGGTCTCTAAAATATATATTTCTATTTTATCGATTTGATGTCTATCAAAACAGAAATAATAATTTTTTATATATATTTCTTTAGCCTTTTTAAAGGAAGAAATTATAAGTACTAAGGCTTCAACGGGTTTATATTAAAATTTTACCAAAGCAATCGAGATTATGCATTCATTTACTCATCGATAGATAGGGTTTTATCGATTTTAGCAAAGCAAAAGTATCGAAATCTTGTTATTTAAAAGGAATAAAAAAAAACGGTTGATTAAAAAAAACCCTTTTAGCAAGCCATAAAACATGTCATTGTTTTAAAATTTCATTTCAAATTTCTTCCCTCAGTTATCGATAGACAAGCGAAGCGATAACCCGATTGTTTCGCTTCATAATTTCAACACTCATCGATGGCAACACGACACAACGAGAGGGGGCTAAACAAAATCGAAACAAATCTCGTAAAACTCCACTTGACACTTGTCCCCATCGAGTGGCGCTGTCTCTGTCTCCGGCCTCCCTACCCCTCTCTCTCTCCCTCTCTTGCACTCCCCTGCTCCGTAAAGGGGAGGGGATTCCCATGGTGCGTTTGACGTTTGCTGCTGACATGTCAGCAAAATTTTAACTGGCAATTTGCAGCAGAGCCCGCGACAGAAAGCTCCTGTGCCGTCGCCTCCTAGTTTTTCCCCGGCATTTTCATTCTCGCACGTAGACCGTCCAGACAGACAGACAGATGGGAGTGGGAAAAGAGAGGGGAGAGAGGAGGGTGGAGATTATAAAGGGAGAAGGGGAACAACCAGACAGAAGGACAGAAAGACAGAAAGACAGTTGGACTGTCCTCCTCCCTCGACAATTTCCCAGAGCGTGTCTCTCTCTTTCTCTGTCTGTGTGTCTGTCTGTCTACGGCTTTTCCCACCGCTTTTCCTCCTGTTTTGCCTGCTACCCTTGTTGTTGTTGTTGTTGTTTCATGCGACATGGCACAATATGTTGCTATGTCTGATGTCTGGGGCCCTGCCTATTCATACATATGGACATATATATCCCTTCTATAGCCTTGCCACTTGAGTTTTGTGCTTTTTGTTCAACGACTGTTATTCCAGTTCCACCTCCTCCTCTCCCCCTTAGTTTCTCGCAGTGTATTTGTGCGCTAGCATTTTTGGTAATGGTGTCAAAATAATTTGGATTGTCATTTGTTTTGGGCCCCACCAACCAACCCACTCAAGGTGAAATTGTTGGACACAAACTCGCTTACTGGTCAGTAAAATTGGGGGAAAAAATGGGCTTAGGAGCAGGAAAAAGGTTCAGTGGCTTGAAATAGCATTAATTTCGGTGTATTTTTTTGTTTTTATTACCATAATTGAAACTCAAATGGAGGTGGCTTAAAGGTTGCCAAGGGTTCTAATTGATTTTGGCTTTAATCTAAGCCCACATGTGACGTTAATTGGTTTGTACAATTTTTCACATTTTTATTTTAAGGGTTTTTGTTGAAATTGGAAATTTACTTGAAATTTCTGTTAAAATTTTGATGTTTATTTAGCATAAATTTGAAATTTCCTCTTTTAAATTCTTTATTTACTTGAAAATCTTTCTCCTTGATATTTATACACCTCTTTCCACCTTCTCCAATTTGCATTGACTCCTAGTTTTTTGTAATTTATGAGATCATCTCCGATTGTATTGTCCTAGTTTCGAGCATTCTCGAGATTCCCGACTGCCTTTTGTCTTGCCTGGGAATTTATTTGAGCCTTGTGTTCGATATAGTTCTTTCATAAATCATGCGGTATTTCTTTTGCAAAACAACAGCAGAACAATCTCTGATTGATGGAGGGAGCGGCAGAAACAGGAGCATGAATCGCTTAAATGTCACTTTGCAGCCCTCACGCCTTCACCCTAAACCCCCCATTCCCATCCCCAACCCCCATCATCATCATCATTTTGCCTTTGTTTGTTTGCTAATAGCTTGTTAGCCATTTCAAAAACAATTTTCTTACTTACACATTCCAGCAACAAGATGGCATAAACAACAACAGTAGACAGCAACATGTGTAGCCCATAACTTCCACCGAGTTGGGTGAGGAGGGAGGGAAACTCTCCCCCCCATAGCATGTCCTTTTTCTGCTTTGTCATAATTCAAGGCAAAAAAAAAAAAAAAACAGAGAAAAGGACAAGGAAAAGAGGGCACACATACATACATACACATATTGACAGGTTTTTGGTCATAAATTAAACAGGTACAAACTTTAGCTGGCTTTTTAAATTCTCTTTAAAGAATATCATTCATACGCCGTGTGGAACTGACAAGTAGGATAGATGATGATTGATCACTATCTTCTGCAATCTTAAATTAATATATATTTAACACAGATTTAACACAGATTTCCGTTTCAGACAGCTCTGTGTAAATGATATCCTAGCCCTGCTCTTTGGTTAACTTGAATTTTTGCCAGCTTGTTTGTTGCTAATATATCAACGTTAAAAGAAGGGTTGCTTTCCCCTTCTTTTCTTCATTTTGTTGTTGTTGCGACTGAAAAAGCCGGGCTGTTACACATTTCCCCCCAAACGCTTTGTTTTGTTTTCATATATTTTTATTTTTACTTTTTTTTGTTGTTCACAAACTTTTTGTCGCAAGTTTGCCTTTGTCGCCTTTTGTCTCGCTTATTCAACCCTTTTTTTGTGCTTCTGTTTTTTTTTTTTAGGAACACATCCGGTGCTGAAATACTTTATACATTCGCCCTTGTGTCCTCCGTTCCCATGTGTTAATGGCAAATTAAAATTCACTTAACAACATTCCACTTTAGTTTCTAATTTGAAATTTTATTCCAACACTGCAGGGTTTTCGCTATCTCTCTCTCTCTCTTTCGCTCTGGTTTTTTATTCAAATGCCCAAAAATCCTCGTTAAGAATTTATGAGCCAGAGCCACAAAAGCCGCAGACACCGCTCATGCAATTTGCATCCTGTGGGTGAAGGACCATTTCCTCGCTTCTCTCCGAGTTCCGAGAGGTTTCAAGGGGTTTTATTTTTTAGGGAGAGTGAAGAGAGTGGTGGAGTTGTCAATAATAAATAAGAAATAAGGCTGAAGAGAGCAACAACATTGAGGAGATAAATATATAGAAAAATGAAAGCAAGGAATAGCTAAATGCTCTGAAAATATATTTATTAAAAAAAATGATATTTTAAGATATATAATTAAAAGGAAATGCTAATATTATTATAGCTGAATGCTTTGTTAATATATTTATTAATAAAATATATTTGAAATATTTCATTTTTAGATTAATTAATTTTTTTATATTTTTTTTAGAGCAAATTTTATTACTTGAAGTTGTTTTTAGTTAAAATATTCAAATAAATTATCTAGAAATACAAGTTTTATATTATAAAAATTCAATTTTCTTGGCTTATTTAATTTTTAATTTTAACAAATAATTTAAAAACTACTTCTTGCTTAATCGAAAAATCCCTTAACTCCCAGTTTTTCAGAGAGCATGCAAAGTAATCCAAAAAAAAAAGAAAAGAAGAGTGCCCAGAGAGTCCTTGTCCTGCACTCTTTATACTTCCTTGTCCTCTGGGAAAACAGGGATCTTAAAAGCCTCTGTTCCACCTTCCACAGCCACATCCTTTGCTTTCATTCTCCAAGGACGCACACCACCCCACACACCCCCTTTTCGGCTCAATTGAAATCAATTAAAAATCAATCAACTCAAATGTAGTGAAAAACAATTTTTAATTGAAAAGCAGAAGCAGACTGGACGACGATGCTGAAAGGAAGCTCTCTCACCTGGGCGGCACCTGAATGTTGAGTGTTGAGTGCTCAATCCCGAAGTTCAAGTGGCTTCCACATCCACTTTGCAGCAGAGGAGAAGGACATACGGACATACGGACACAGGGGCCCAAGGACCCAAGGAGGGCCAGAGTGCATGAATATTTTATGAAGATAAATAAGGATAAAAACTTCAAACGACCACCAAAAGTGGTCGCTGCTTGAAAATGGAACAGGAGGAGGACCTACAACATACTACCTGGGCGAAAAAGGGGTGTTAAGAAACCTGAACTGAAACTGGTCGTATGAGCAATGGGGATTTGGCATTTCTGGCATTTTCATTAGCATTTGCATTGCCCGAAAATCCAATTGAAATCGAAATCAAAAAAGCATCAGCTTCTTCTACATTTGATTGCCAAAAATACGCTCAACTTTGGCCAACATATGCTAAAAAAAAAGTTTAAAAAAAACTAAAAAAAATAGTAGTTAAAAAACAGGGCAAGGGGCAGCCAGAAATCAGAGGCAGGAAGGGATGCCACTTCCATTTGGAGCATTGGACAACCGCTAATGGTGTCTGCGGCCAAGTTGTAGGAAAAATAAGTTTTAGATTACCCTGTAAACTGGGGAATACAGGAAGGTATATGGGTATACAAGGTATCATATAAAACAGATAATATATATTTTAATATTATCAATAATATTTAATATTATAAACACATTATAAAATATTTTCTCTAAGATTTTAAGCTTTTAAAAACTATATTTAAAATAAAATTTCTAATAAAATAAATAAGAAATAATAAATAATAAATTAAATAAGAGTTTATTACTGGAAATACCTAATAATTATTAAGAAATTAAATTGGGAAAATGAGAAATTCCCTATTTAATTACTTTTACCATTAATTTTTCTTACAAAAATCCAATATTTTTAGTTTTTCTCTTTATTAAGGGGTACCAAACATGTCCTTAGACCTACTTTATTCCCCTCAAAACTTCGTTTAATGAACTTTTGGCCATTGCCTGCATTATGAGCCGAATAGCAACAACAACTACCAACTAACAACAAACAAAACAGCAAACAAACAAAACAACAAACAAACTGCAAACGGAATAACGGTTGGAATAAAAAAAGAAACAACAAAAAAAATAGAAAAAAAACGAAGCCAAACTCATTTCAAAGCTATTAGGCGAAGTAGAAGGAAAAGTCCAGCAGAAAAACTATGCATTGCACAAGCCAAAGAACCGGAGAAGAACTAAAGTGAAGTGAAGTGGGGAGAGGGGAAAAGGACGAGACTAGAGAATAACAAGGATAATGCCAAGAACTGAAATTAGAAGTGCGAAGCTAACTTAATTACATAATCCTTAAAGACTCACCTTGTAAATTTAAGCTCGTTTTCAGGCATTAATCCCTCATTTTGACCAGTTTGGAATTCCAAATATTGAGTTCTGAAAAGAAGAAATAAGGAAATAAGGAAAGATTTAAAAAGAATTCAGTTAACTTTAAGTAAAAGTATTTTTAAGAATATTTAACATTTTTGTGAATATTTTTAAAGGGTTTATTCATACTTTTAGAGGCTTTTAGAAGTGATAAGGATATAAATAAATGAAGATATTTTGTATAATTTTTATAAAAGGAGATGCCTTTTCCATTTCATTATTACTTTTATTGAATCGAAATGATCTAAATTTTATTAAATTAGTTTTTTATTACTTTAAAATGATTTAAATAAGGAAGATTCAATTAATTTTTAACTTAAATATTATCTATAAAATATTAAATTAAATATATTATTGTTTTTAAATTATATAAAAATGTTAATCATCGATATTTTCATTATTTAAAAACAATAAATTATCTTTTAAGGCAAAAATATTGAAATAACAATTAATAAATAAATTTTTTTAGAAAAATTGAAATAATGGAAAATTAATCGAAAATTAAATCGAAAATAATAGAAATATCGATTATTAATATTTATTATTGTATTAAAAATGCAATAGTGAAATACATATTTTAATATATAAAAATTATCAATATACAAATTATTAAAAACATTTTTTATCACATTGAAATAATCGAAATATCAATGATTAAGAAGAATTTTAGCTTAATAACATAGATCTAAAGCAGTATTCTTATTTTTTTTTTTTTTTTTTTTTTTTTTTAGGCTTTGCTTTTATTTATTGAATCTTCTCATTTATGAGACTAACAATAAGTGTATCAAATCTTACAATACTACCTAACTAGCAGTCATGAGACTGGTACAGAGAAAATGGCCCTGACTAATTATGGCTGGGTTGGATGGTCGTTACGTAGTAGGCGGCTTCTTCTGGAAACTCGTATCAAGTCCCTTGCTAAAGGATTTGGATGGGTGGAGAGTTTTTCCTTGTAGGACGCTTTTTGTTTTTCTATTTCGTTCTTAACTGCAGGAATGCCGAGATCCCTGTGGATGTGTTCGTTGCGAATATACCATGGTGCCCCAGTGATAGTTCTCAGGATTTTTGATTGGGCGCGCTGTATGATGTCTAGATTAGTACTGCACGCGTTCCCCCAGAGCTGGGAGCCATACGTCCATATTGGCTTCAGTGTGGAGTTGTAGAGCAGGACCTTGTAGTCCAGACACAGGGGCGATCGGGAGTTTATGAGCCAGTGGAGGCTGCTGGCTTTTAGTTTTAGATGAATTTTCTTGCATTCAATATGTCTTCGCCATGTTAGGCGTCTGTCCAGGTGGACGCCCAGGTACGTTACCACGTTGACTTCGGGTATCTGCGTGCTGTTCAGGTAGAGCGGAGGGCATGTTTGTCTGTTCAGAGTGAACGTTATGTGCTTACACTTTTGTTCATTTATTTTAATACGCCAATTAGATAGCCACTTCTCGACTACCTTGAGGTGGTTGGCGAGCTGGGTTGTTGCCCGGACTGGACATCTGGAACGGCTGAGGATCGCAGTGTCGTCAGCGAAAGTGGATAGTGTTAACTGGTCGCTTGTGGGGATATCCGCTGTGTATAGGACAAATAGGGTAGGCCCAAGTGCGCTTCCTTGTGGAACTCCAGCTTCGATTGAATAGGTGCCGGATGTTGTTGCGTTGCACCTCACTGCGAAGACTCTGTTGTAGAGATACGACTCAAGTAATTTGTGTGTGTATGCCGGTAAGAGTGTTTTAATTTTGTGCATGAGGCCATTGAGCCAGACGCGGTCGAATGCTTGAGAAACGTCTAGAAATATTGCACTGCAATATTCTCGATGTTCGAAGGCTGTGCGAATTTCTGATGTTATTCTGTTAACTTGCTCTATAGTTCCATGTTTTTCTCTGAAGCCAAATTGATGAGCTGGGATGATGTTGTGAGCTCCCAGATAAGGAATTATGCGCTTTAGTAGGCATTTTTCAAATAACTTGGACAAGCAAGATAGTAGACTTATTGGTCGGTAGGATGATGGAATCGTGTGGTCTTTTCCGGGCTTCGGTATCATTATAATTATAGATTTTTTCCATTTAGTTGGGTAGTGGCCGAGACTTATGATCCCATTGAAGATTTTACAGATGACCTCAATAGCACAATTCGGAAGTTCAATTATCATTTTTTGAGTTATTTGGTCATCGCCGGGAGCCTTTTTCGGCTTCAGTTCCCTGATGACCTTCGTGATCTCTTGTTATTCTTATAATATAAATATATATAATATAAATAATTAATATATATTTTTAATAATTGTTTATTGCTAAACTTTAATCCGATATTTATCATCTCAAATCTATTTTTATCCTTTCTTCAATATTCCATCGATTGTTTCTTTGACCAAACTCCGTGTTAAAATTTTTTTTCTATATCTCAGCGACCTCCTACCTCCGTTGACCCTTTGCAATTTTTGCAGAGGCGTTCATGCGTTGTCAAAACCTTAACCCCCTTACCCCCAAACCCTAATAGGTTCGTCCGGGATGAGAGGGGTGGGATGAGGCGCCACTCAATGTAATGAAGGTCATTAGAAATGTACTTTGAGCCGGCAAACAGAGGCAAAAAAGTGCGTAGAACAAAACAAGAAAACAAGAACAAAAACCAGAGAGAGGGTCGCCACCTCCACCACCACTCTCTCTTTCGCACGCATTTTCACCGCCTTTCCATCGCTTTTCCTTTGCTTTTTCCCCGTTCTACGAGTGAGTTGCCCCATGCTTTCCCTCCGATTTGGTAGGCAGCTTTGGGTCATTAGGTGACGCCTGTCCATGGGCACAAAACGTAATTAGTCGACGACGACGACGATGACATCGAAACATGTAAAGTGGAGCGCTCCACTGACCCAACGATCCATGGCCCAATGCCACGCCCACCCGACTGCCGCCCGCCTTACCCATTGATGGCAACAGCCAAAGTCTTGGCAAAAAGTTGGTAATTAGGATGTTTGTGCTGCTGACAGACAACGAGCCATTGAGTAGGAGGAGAAGGAGGAACGAAGGCAAACTGAGCTGGGTCACAGGATCTGTGGGAATCTCTAGCTCCAAGGGTTAAGGGTTAGGCGGGGGCATTTGTAAATTAAGTTGACATCTTAAGTTGAACTTGTTTAATTAGATTTTATCATTATAATCAAGTCAACAGTGGCAACTCGACACGACTGGCACTCGTTGTTTGCCCTTTTCGCCCCGTGTCCTTGAACCTGTTGGTCTGCTCCTTCTTCAGCTTTTCTGTTTCTCTCAACAATCCAGGTTTCAGTTGAAAAGGTGAGTGTCGTTTTTTGCTTAATTAGAATTTGCATTCGTGTAGGCAGCAAGTATTTTAAGCACTTTACCCAGCAAGGAGGTAATTTTATTTGATTTTCCATCTTCTCCCAGAGGCATATCTCAATGGGATCTCTCTTTACCTTTATCTCTGTTATACCCAGGAGAATGGAATTTCCTCCTCCTCTTCTCCTGCTGCTCCTCTGGATTTTATTTCGTTCAAAGCCAATCAATTTCTGAATGCAACATTGTGACTTGAGCACATTTCGTTGCAGCTGCATTTGCTTTGCAGTAAATCGCATTGACTGAGACTCCGATTCCCCCCTTTTCGGGCATCAAAGTGTTAACAATAAAACCGAAGCTGCTTCAATCCGACACAAATATATATGTATATATATACAAGTTGAGAGAATTTTCCTCAATGGATAAAATGTGGCAAATGGCGAATGGGGAAAACTCAACGAGAGTTAAGGATGAATGCCAAAAGGAATCCTTTTCCAATTTCGCTGATGAAATGACAAAACCGATCAGCACATACATATTCCTCTGTGTGTGTGTGTGTGTGTGTTTGTGTGTACATATTTGCCACACAAAGACACATTGTGTGTGCGCTTAGTGGTGCTAAATAAATAATCAGCTATGAATAAATCAGAGTTTGAATACTTGACCCAACCACTCAACAATAACGCTTGGTATTTATGTATAATTTAGGACAAATGATGGACAAAGTCTTTAAAGCACAAAGTTGGGGAGTATTTAATTAGCGAAACATTTGCATATTTATGGGAAATGCATTTGAAATTAGTTAAGGATTTTGATAATTTTAATTAATTTTTGTTATTAGAATAAGAAAATAAATAAATATATAATTGAATACAGTTTCTGGTTTAACAAATCTGCTTAACATGGCTAAATCGATTCTGCTGTTGATGCTAATCAAGAATATTTAGGTTTATAGGTTTGGAAACGACTCCATAAGTTTATCTGATAGTTTTTCGAAAAAATAGTGCTTAAAAATATGAAAACTAAGGTAAAAATACTTAAATTTCCATTCGGAAAGCTGCTGCTGCATAACCACTCAGAACAAGCTAGAACAAGTTGGGAATTATAGTGTCAAGGGAGTGATTTTCTTTGTTTTTTCAATTATATATTTATTTCTTATTATTATTTTAATTTAATTTAATTTTTATTAATGATTTTTAGTTTTTTTATTTTTTTTATTTTTTTTAATTATTTTTATTTAAATAATTAGTTATTGATTTTTATTTTATATATTTATTTATGGATTAATTAATTAATTTATTTATATATCCGACTTGTATAAAAACTTTCAATTATCTTAATAATATTTCCATAAAAAAAAGACTTCTAAACCTTAAAGGATTTTTCTTATGTATTTCAATCAAATAAACCCCATACTTTTTCGCTCTGTGCAGACAATCCTCAGCATCCTGATGCGCTTCAATTACTCAAGCAGTCAATGCCACACGGCATACTCTTGGCAACTGGGGAACATTGAACGCTGAAGTGCCAACGTCGACGGCAACTTGTGTGCTTATTTTTAAACGTACTAAGGAAGCAGCAGCAGCACACTAAGGAGTTTGCCGCCAGCAACAACAACAATAAAAGCAAAAAATGCAATAAAAAAAACATAAAAAACACATACAGAACCATTAAAAAACAACCAAGAATAAAAGAGTTGCATTTTGCATTGAATAAATGATGCAGGAAAACTACAAAAAATGGTTGGAAAGATGGCCAAGGCGACGGGCTTTTCATGTCTGGTATCGACATTTCTGTTCTGTCTGGGGTTTTCACTATTGTTTTTCCCTTTTGTTTTTCCTGTGGCTTTGCATTCCAAAACAAAACCATTTGAAATTTGCACGTAAATCGGACAAATGGCATCTCTCGTTTTCTCGCCCATAAATTATTAAACGCCTAATGTTGTGACATATGTTTTGAAGTTTTGGTTAGCAGAGCTTAAGGAATAATTTATATATGCGAATTGTGTGTGATTTATAAGGAAAGGGTAAATGAACGAGCTTAAATTGAATATAAACAATGGGCAGAGGGAGATGTATAAATAAAATCAAGTGCATTCAGTAAAGAGTGAGAGATCTCCTGGCTTTTACTTGGACTTTTGGCCTCTCTCCAATGGTTAAATGGACCCACAGCTTATTAGCCAAAAGGACACTGCATTCCCCTCCCTCTGCCCCTCTTTTTGAGGCCATAAATTATGCAACATTTCCACGAGTCGCGGCGCAAAAGTGTCAAAGCTTAAAATTCTTGCCGGCAAAAGAGAGAAAGAGCAGTTAAGGCTCAGAAAGATATATATACTATATATACACAAGCCCCACCCACTGCCGCTCCTTGACTTAACACTTTGCAGTTCAAGTTTTTGTTTCCTCGCACTTATTTTTACTTTTTGACAGTCATAAATTTGCGTCCAGCATGAATTCGACAGCAAACTAAAAGCGTAAAAGGGGAAAATGTCCCCATTTCCCCAGCTCTTTAAACTTTTTCATTGAAAGGCAAAAGCGAGACAGAGAGAGAGAGAGAGGGAGAGAGCGAGAGAGGTGGCCAAGGAATCCTGGGCATGTGGTGTCGGCCAACTTAATGCTGGGAATCCGTTAAGCGGAATGAAAACTTCCCCAGTTGCATTTCCACTTGCGAGCTGTGTGCAAGTGCAAGTTCCTTTCAACTTTTTGGCCAAGTCCTAGTCCGAGTCCCGATCTTGTTCCTTTTGCTTATTTGTTTGTTTGTTTGTTTTTTTGTTGTTTGTTTTATTCGCATTTTGTGTAGTCAAAACAAACGAAAAGTTTCCACTCGAAATTCCCCTATTTCACGAGTTCCCCAAAAACCGAGTGGCAACAAAATATTTTTGTTTCAACTTATAGACAGTTTCTGGTTGAGTTTTCTCCAAAAGAAAAGTAATGGGAGTAGAGAATTGATGCAGAACAAGGGGGATATTAGCAGAGCTATTTGCAGTTATGAATGAGCATTGAATAAAATGTTGAATAATTTTTTCAAATATTTTTAAGGCTTTTTAGAAAATGTTACGAAAATTAAAGGGAAAATTAAATAAATTTTGAAAATATTTTAAAAGCTTCTAGAAAATCGAAATAAAATTAACGGAAAAACTAAATAAAATTTTGTAAATATTTTTTAATGCATAGAAAAAGTAACTAAAATTAAATGGAACATTTAATAATTTTTAAAAACATTTTTAAGGCTTTTAGAAAATGTAACTAAAGTTAAATGAATAACTAAATAATTTTCTTCAATATTTTTAAGGCTTTTAGAAAAGTTGTATAAAATTAAATGGAAAACTAAATAATGTTTTTTAAATATTTTTAAGTTTGTTAAAATATTTAACTAAAATAAAAGGAAAAACTAAATAAATTGTTTAAATATTTTTAAAGCTTTTAAAAAAAGTAACTTAAATTAAATAAAAGACTTATATTTATGTCTTTTCTTTACACTTAAAAAAAAAAGAGACTTTCGTTGTTGTCCCAACTCTATGACAAATCCATCAATTAACTGGCTTTTCCTCAGCTTTTCCACAGCTTTTACTTCCATTTTTTCTACCTTAACTCTCTGTTTTTCTTTTGCAAGCCCGATTTCCTTTAGGATACTTGTTAAAAGGGACAAAAACAGGCTTTCTCATCTCGTCAAAGCCACAGAAAACCGAACCAAACTGAACTGAACCCATCGAGACAATTTTTAATGACGCCACAAACAGACGGAACAAGCGCAGGTCTCCCGCCTGGAAAACTCCATTTCCCCCTGCTATCTGTGCTTTCTCCCTTGGAATCCCCGTTTCCCCCCTTATTTCCAAAGGGGATGTAATGGTGATGCTGCTGCTTGTGCTGTTGTGTTGATGATGAATGCCGCCTGGGCAACATTTTCAAAAACGAAACAAATGCAAATTGCTGTCATTGAGGGATATCCTACCGATTGCCGCCCACCCCTGGGGGTATCCACAGGATTCTGGGGATCTCTCCTACAACCTCCTCACCCTTCGATTAATGCAGCTGCAGGAGTACCCACACTGCCACAACAACAACGAACGCATGATGATTTTTGCGGTGTTTTGTGTATATTAATGCGGCTGGCAAAGTAGCTTTTAATTAGCATGTTGTCTGCGGCCGCAATTAGCCCCCCTTTTCTGCCACATTCCGCCCCTGATTATATCCCCTGATTAACCCCCCCTTTGCTCTCCCTCACTCCCTTTTTGTTACTGCTTTTTGGGGTTTTTCAATGGCTTTTCGGTTGAGTGGCGTCATCAGGTTCAGGTGGAGCAGATATATAGTTTGAGTCAAGGGTTTTCCCCTTCTCAGCTTCCCTGATTAGCTCACTTTTCCGCTTTTCTGCAGAGAGCGGCTTAAAGTGGCTTAGGCTACCGCCGAGTGACTGCAAATAAGCTGCGATACGGATGCGCAGATACATGGATACAGATACTTTTGCTTTTGCCTTTCGGGAACATTCCAAACTTTTGTTGTGTGGAGGATTAAGCTTCCAAAAATGGGAATTTAATGCGGTTTACCGGCGGATGGAAATAACAATTCGATTCTCTTTAATTTAATTATTTTTAAGATGTTTTCGAATTTTAAAAGAGATTTTTTTAAACATTAATTTCATGATAGAATAAATCTAGTAAATTTATTTAATATTACATGTTTTTTGGACTTAAATTAGACGATTTTCTTCTCTATTTAAAGTTAACTATTCTTCGAATTTCTTAAATTTTAACTATATTTAAGATGTTTTAGAATTTTAATAATATTTTTAAAGCCTTAATTTCATGATAGAATACATTTTTAAAAATATAATTTAAGTTTTGTTAGTCCATTTAATATTACAATACGATATTCTTCTCCATTTAAAGTAAACTAATCTTCGATTCTCTTAAATTTCATTATTTTTAAGAGTTTTATAATTTTAAATACATTTTTTAAAGCCTTATATTTATAATAAAATAATTTTTAATTTATAATTGAAGTCTAGTAAACCAACTTAATTATTACAATACAATTTTCTCCTCCATTTAAAGTCAACTGTTCTTCACAGTTCGAACCCCCATTCAATTATCACCATCAAGGATTTTTATGGTCATTGGTCTCGGGCTCTTGCCAGCATCTATAACTCTTTTTTTTTATATATATACATTTTCCACCTTTACTGATTGGTTCTCTCCAGTTTTTTTTTGTAATGGAGTTTTGAGGTTCCACGCTAATTAGATGGCACGCAGGCGCATGACACAAAATGCTGCTGCTGCTGCTGGCGAGGGAAATGCTTGAGGAAAAAGGGGGAAAAACTTGAGGAAAAAGGGGGAAAAACTTGGGGAGAGCACTGCTACGACTGGCTGCAATTGCGGCTATGATTATTAGGCATAAAGTGTTGAGGTTGCCGCTGCTATATAGCTTTTGTTTTTGTTGACTTGGCCCAGGCCTAAGTAACACGATTTTTTCTTCATTATTATTTCTTGGCACGCGATCTGACAAGTTAGACGACTTGTTGTTGGTGCTGCTAAGCACTGAAAGAAATATATATGTACTCCTTGCTAAATAGATATTTTAAGCTAGTTTCTAGTGTATCTCAAGGTGCTAAATAATATTTTAAAAAATTATAAAATATTAAAAAAGAATATATAAAATATTAAAAAAAATTATAAAATATTTTAAAAAATTATAAAATATTTTAAAAAATTATAAAATATTAAAAAAAAATTATAAAATATTTTAAAAAATTATAAAATATTTAACAAAATATAAATTAAACTCTCTCCTTTAAGTCTAAATAATATTTAATAAATTATTTAAGTGTTTCTCAGTCAAACAATTTTATTTGAAATATTTTCTAAATTAAAAAATTACTCTTTTAGACTTATCTATTAATTACTATTCTTTAATTCCAATTCAATTAAGTCTAAATAATATTTAATAAATTATTCAAGTAATTCTTAGCCAGAAAACTTTATTTTATAATATTTTCGAAATTTTCTATTATGTTTTATAAGCTTTCCAAATAAAAACCTTTAAGTTTTTCCCTTAAATTCCCTTTTTTAAACTCTCTTTTTCATTTTTTAAATTTATTCCCTGTGTAGCCTATAGCCTTAGTTTTGCTTTTATTTTTCGTTGGACTTTGAGCTAGTCAAGCAAGCTGTCGCCATCGCCTTCGGATGTCGTGTTATGCGATTTACATCGGGTGTTGGCTCTGGGTACTACTTTTGTTGCTCTGCTGTTTTCCCGGGGAGAGCTTTCCACTCCGCCTCCACACCCAGCCCCCCCCCCCCTAGCACCCCCTCCTCTACTCTCTCGAGGTACAACAATGTGTGTATATATAGATTTAGAAATTATAGTTGATGGCTTACTTGCAATTAGCGGCGACTACAACGACAACTGATGGCGAATGGCTGTTGGCTGTTAGCTGTTGACTGTTGACTGTTGACTGTCGACTGGTTGGCTCTTGGCTGATGGTCGAATGTCGCTGGTTGATATGACTCCGATTATACTGTCGATTGTCCCTAACGATCTGTAAAACAAACAAATGGAGAGAAACAAACATTTATTTGTGACCAATTATCGTTCATTAATCCATCCATCGTTTCATTGTGAAAAGGTCGCTATCAATCGGAACTGATGAATCAATGTCGGACAGCTCGTTTACTGCTCATTTACCGATCATTCACACACGCATTCAGGGATATTTAAACAGTAGCCTCAATTATTATCCATCCAAAATATGAAAAGAAAATGTAATGACTAAATTCTTATAGGAAATTGTTAGATAAGCCACATGATTCAGCCAATGGAGAATGGTTTTTATTGTCTAAAAAATTTATATATATATATATATTTAGTGGAACTTGACAACTTCCCATCCTAGGCTAATCAGCAGTTTACTATCTAAAAATTCCTCAGTTGACAACTTGTAAACAAGTTTTGCTTAAAAAAATAAATGTGTGTATATTATAATCATTTCAAGATACAACGCAAATCATATAATTAATGTGCTACCAGTTTCATGAATAAATTATATGTTTAAAAATACATTATGAATTGTAAATGAATGCTTTAACTAATCTTGTGTGTCCTTATCAATAAATTTTGTATTTTTTGATAACTTACTCGGCTCATTCATATACGAAACCTTCAGCAGGGAGCAACTTAATCACATTCTTATATCAAAAAATCAATTTAACGCCTGGAGCAAAGCAATTCCATTAAATTGAAACTGATAATTACCTCAAAAATCAATGAGCACGAACACACCTGAGCTGGGAGAAACCACCGCGTTGAACACCCAACTACTTATCAGCAAATATGGATTAGATAAGGTTAATTTTCTTATCTGAGAGCGTTGGATTTTTCCACAGACCATTCTACGGGAATTACGCAGATATATCTTTCACACACCGAAAATAATAATCATAATCATAATAATAATTATAACGCAAACACGGACAACTAAGCCTTATTCACCGAATCGGTGGCAGTTTCTCACGATTAAAAACTCTTGTCTAGCCCGTAATCTTATCACTTGGCATCAGTTATCAGTATCAGTATATCCTATATATTATCTTATCACCGGACTTCTGGGTTAAGAGAAACCCCCCTCTTTCAGTCACGTGAAAGGTGGAAAAATCATAAAGCCGCAAAGGAAAAATGTATAAATATATAGAGGGGGGGAGGAGGGAATGGAAATGGGAGTAAAAAATCAAAAATCTCAAGCGCATAAATAAAATATATATGTATAAAAAGAGGCTGGGTGAGGGAGTGTATGTGTGCAGACATTACATTTTCTGCTCCAAATACGCTTTTCACAATTTTCACACACACGCTAGAGTCTAGGGAGAGACTTTTCATTTTACTTTTGCCATACGCGTCGTATGCGCAATGTACACACTCGGCCATATGCATATGTACATATATATCTGTGTGTGCCTGCCTGTGTGCAAGTTGGCCCAGTCAGTGAGCCAGTCAGTCAGTCAGTCAGCCAAGTGAGCCACGGGCGGCATCGTCGTCGAGTTTGTTGTTTATTATGTTAAAAAAAAAAGTGAAAATTGCATTTTGCCATTTTTTGCTTTTGTTTTTTTTTTTCTGTGCCTTTGTTTATATTTCTTTTTTTGTATTTCTAATGCAGCTGAAAATTAATTCAAAATTGCATGGCAAAAAGTGGGCGGTCGCCATGGGTTAAGGATGTGCTTTCACAGCTGGCAGCAGCGTTTGTGCGTCGGGGGAATACCCGAATTGGAAAATGTCACAAATGAAGATTGAAGAAGAAACTAACTACTAGAGAAATGAGAGGGACATCTGGATGGATTTCATTGATAATATAAATCTCTTGAAACCAAATTTGCATAAACATAGTTGTTTTTTTATATTTTATATAACATTTAATATTAATTAATAATTTAATTTAATTAGATTTTTGTTTAAAAAATTAAAAACACACTAGAATAAATATTTATGATTTTTTTTTAATTTTTATGTTAATTAAAATATTTATTTATATTTATTTTATTAAAAATAAATAAAATAAAATAATAAAAAAAATTAAAAAAAAAATAATAATAATAAAAATATTTTATTAGAAATAAATAATTAACCTTATTTATAAAATTTTTAAGAAATCATAAATATTTATTCCATTTATTTTTAATAAAATAAAAATAAATAAATTCCAAAAATTTGACTTTATAGCTAAATTAAATGAATACAAATTCTAGAAAATTTGTCTTAGTTTTATGGGGATTTTTTAAGGGAGATTTTTTTTTTAAATATACGAAAAAACAACCAGTTGAAAGTTAAAAAAAAAAATAATTTAAAATATTTTTGTCTATTTTTATCATTTATCCACATTTTCATTGTCGAATTAATTGAGAATTACTTGAGAGTTTTAACGTACACTTCTGGCAACATTTTAAAGCCTAATGTTATTAATTTTCGATATTTTCAACTCATTTCCTTGAAAATTGCAATCCCCTCTAAACCACTTATATTCTTTCCTCATATTTAAGGTTTTTGCGTATTTTCCCATCCATTTCCACTCGATTTTCATATTCTGCACACACCACCCACACCTCACCACACTACACACAGTACACTACACACTCTACACACTCCACTCTGCATACACACACAAACAGCACTCAGTTCCATTCCATTTCATTCGCTGATTCCCGTCATTTCATTCCATTTCGTGCAATTGAACTCATTATCGTTTGATGGTGCCATTGTTATACAACATTTGGTGTCCATATCATGGCACATCCCATCCCTCCTCCCTCCCACTTGGCCTCCTCCCTCCCTCGAGGGCATCAGCCATCTCTCTCTCACATGAAAATTGCGTTTGAAAAACGAAAGTTTTGCGTTAATTTCGAATGTTTATTAACGCGATTATCGAGCATTAAATGTTTCGTTGTTTTCGGTTTTTGCGGCTGGCGTTTTTGGAATTTGTATTTTTAGTGCTGTCGATTATTTGGAAAACTGTTGAAAGCGATGACATCTAATCAATTTGCAACGCCCTCTCCCTCTGCTGCCTCTGAGCACACATGGTTCGCTGCATTTTGCCTCGGCTGCAGTTTTAATTAAGTGTTTAATTAATGATGAGGCTCTCTCGAAATGGGGGGAAAAAGGGGTGGCGTTGGCGGCGCAATTGAAACAGCAATTGCTGCCATCAAAAAGAGGCAAAATGACAACCGGGAGAGAGGAGGGAACGATATGAGTTTGGGTGCTTTAATTACAAGAAAATGAGCTGAAAATGCAGGGCCCTAAAAACGAGATTATTCAAAATGTTTATTTGTCATTGGAAAATGCTAATTTCTGGGGATCTTCTTTGGTCTTTTCCTTATATATATTATTTATTTGTAATTAAACAATGCCAAAAGTGTTGCAATTAAGTATATTTATATATTTTTTTATATTTTTAAATTTAAATATTTTATTAAGTCGAATATATAAATAAATTATTTCATAAATTGATAAATAAATAAAATATTAAAAAAAAATATAATATAAATAATAATAACTATAAATAATTATAAAGAAATACTAATTATATAATATATAAAATATTAATTAATTAAAATTAGGTTGAAAATAAAATTTATGAAATTTCTTATATTAAAAAAAAATAAAAAAACAAAATAAATAATAAATAAAAAAAATAAATAAAATAAAAATTAATAAATAAATAATAAATACAAAAAAATTTAAAAATACAACATAAAATATAATACAAATTTTAATAAATATAAATAATAAAAAAAGAATAAAATAATAATTGATTTATTAAAATTAATTTTAAATTAGAAACTTTTATAGGGTACCAAAAAAACATTAATTTTAGCAATAAAATAAATAATAATATATAAATAAAATAATACTAATTAATATATAAAACAAAATATAAAAAATAATAGTAATTAAATAATTAAAATTAAGTTAATATTATTTAAGCAATAAAAAATACAAAATAAAATAATTAAATAATTAAACAAAATAATAATAATTTATTATTAATAATAATAATTTAATAACTTTAATAATTTAATAATTAAATATATAATATAATAATAAAAAAGTATAACAAAATAATTAATTCATTAATATTAATTTTAAATGAGAAATTTGTATTTTATATATTTCTTCAAATATCTCCCTTGCTTGTTTATCCCATTTCCCATTTATGTATCCATAACCATCAAGTTGAATGACTCCTGTGCTCAGTCTGATTAATATATATGGGCTAACTGTGCCAAATCTATATTACCATCCCCCCCTCATATTAGGCCCCTATATCACATGACCAATTTTCTGTTGCTGGAACTCAATAAGCGGAGGCAGTGAATCAGTTGATCCCTTCGTTGACTGCTGAGACTTTACTTGTGCAATTACACACACCCAAATACACACACACACACACACTGGCACCCCTAAGGGTCAAAACAAAGAGGGGGGAAAAAATAAAAATAAAATGAAATAAAACGCAATCGCAGGCTGTTTATCTTTAGTCCTTCCGTTATGAGGGTCGCCGCTTGCAGGAGATGGATAAAGGATCTGGCCTTGCCCTAGGGTCCCTCTATCCTCTATGTGTATGTGTGTGGCCCAAACATTTTCAAGCATTTTTCATTTGCATTTTCAATAATAATTCGTTGTTGGCCTTGACTTTCGTGTGGGTCTCTACCAAAAGGGGGCGGAAATATACGTTATATATTTTTATATATATGTGAAAGAAAGGGTCCTGATTTGTTCTCTTGTTGTTTGCCCCTCATTGCCAAACATTTATTTATTATGGCCTTCGTAATCGTTTACGCACACACAAAAGGCAAAGAAATTATTCAATAGTGCAAATTTTTTGGGGGAAAGTAAAAGGAAAAGCGAGTGGGCGTGTCCATGCAAATGAAAATGGGAATTGTTATAAATTGTCTCGAAACACAACACAACACACAAAAAGGTTTGGCTAAGTTCCCTCTCCCCTGGGTTATTTGTTGTCGCATTTTCTTTATTTTTTCCTCACACAAAAAAGTA